AAACCTTCCGAAACCTTTTGAAGCCATAACAACAAAACTGAAACCCCATTGGAAATAATTATCGCAATTACTTTAAAATCCCGTTTAAATCATCATAATGTTGCAAATTTACAATAAACACTGTATATGATTTATTCGAAAGCAGCTTGAAACAAATGTAGACCTGATTAAAGATATATATTGCTTAAAACTGATTTATTTATCTTGTTTAAGATCACAGAACATTCTTAAAAGCATATTTTGAATCACTAAAATCCTTTTAAAAATGGAAACTTGTTTGAAATAAACCTACAAGAAAACTGGTTTAATATTACCGAAAATCTGTTTAAAATTGCTGAAAACGTATTGTAAAATACTATTAAGTAGATAACATGTTTGAAATCATCCTGCTCTACAAGAAAATATGTTTAAAATTACAAACCCCCTAATTCTTACAAATTTACTTCAAATAGCGGAGATCCTGTTTGAAATTAGTAAACACAGACAGAAAACCTGTTTGAAATTAACTGTTTACCGGAAAAACGGTTGACATTTTTTAAAAGTTTTTTTTTTTAATTGCTGAAAACCTAATGAAAATATCTAACAAAACCAGTCTGAAATTAGCCAACCCTGCATGAAATTACCAAACCTGTAGAAACTTTTAAAAACCTTCTTAAAATTGGTGAAAATCTGTTGAAAATATGTAGCAACTAAGAGAGTTTTTATCACAAACATATGACTCCGGAAACGATAGGGTTCAACTTTACTCGGTGCAAAGAGTAACAAGTGGTTTAGATCTGAAGATTAAATTCTGTTTTACACGGTGTAGGAGGAGATTGAAAGTTAAAAATTGGATTCTACTTTACTCTATGCAGAGAGGAACAAGTGGTTGAAAGTTGATGACTGAGTTCTACTTAACTCGGTGAAGAGAGAGACAAGTCGCATAAAGTTGAAAATGGAGTTCTTCTTAACTCAGTGAAAAGAGATAAGAATGATTGAAAGTTGAAGACTGAGTTCTACTTTACTCGATGCAGATGGAAATTTAAAGTTGAGTTCTACTTTACTCGATGCAGAGACGGACAAGTGGTTGAAAGCTGAAAGAAGAATACCACTTTACCCATTAATCAGTGCAGAAGGGGACAACTCGTCGGAGTCAAGGATTGGCTTCTACTTTACACGATGTAGGGAGAAACATGTGGCTTAAAGTTGAGTTCAACTTTACTCGATGAGAGAGTGATCAGTGGTTGAAAGTTGAAGAATCAGTTATAATTTGAAAGATGTAGTTGAAAGTTGAAGATTTGGTTCTCCTTTGCTCGGTGCAGATTTAATTTTTTTCGGACTTTATTTTTTCGATTTCCTGCTTTAACGTTTATCGACAGACGTAAATTTCTGGGTATGGAGACAAAAATATATCGAAATTGTGTACAAAAGAAAATCCTTATCCGAGCATTACAAATATAAAAGTATCATTAAGTTATACTACAAAAGACGAAGTTCACTTCACTTTGGTATAACACGACCGACATAATGTATATGCTAAACCAATGACGCAATGAAATTCTTGCAACTTTTCTTCTTCGGTCTTTCATTCTGCTTTGTGTGTACCATACTCAATATTAGATATGCTACCTGAATATATGTATCATTTTCTAATAAAAAATGTCAAACAAATTTTATATAGTATTAAATATTATATAAGTCAACCTCTTTGCCCGGTTACTAGCAAAAATGGATATGACTAACATTACGTTTGGAGAATGCAATTATTGGTTTCCAATTCTAAACCTGATCTTGTCCTTTGGTATGCGTTCATGTTTTATTGGAAGTTATTCACGTGATCATCTGAGTCGCATAAATTGCTTTGTTTATGCTGAGTAGATATATTAATCTTGATTAATCTTTATTAAAATCTAATCAATCATAACAACATATAAAAACATTTGTTTAAACTGGAAGGGGGCATTTATTGTTCATAAGAAAGCGTGAACATAAGCATGAACAAGTTATCGGACACAAAGAACGGAATCGTATTATTAAATTGCTAAAATGTAATTTCCGGAGGAGTACAAAATGTCTTTTATTGCACCTATATTCATAATTTGCATCATTATATCCGGAACAATAGGGAATCTTCTTTCCCTGCTTGTGTGGAGTGTTGGTCAACGTTGTTCTAAAACGAGAGGAGCTGTACTGTTCAAGTTGCTGTCAACAATAGATTTAATTATACTTGTAATAAATGGAACAGAATATATGCTTCGGACTGGTTTTGAAATTTTCATTCAGGATTATAACGACGTTATTTGTCGATTGTTTTTCTTCGTGGATGACTTTATGCCACAACTTTCTGCTTGGGTAGCAGTCCTTTTGACCGTAGAAAGAATGATAAACATTTGTTTCCCTTTAAAATTCTACAATTCTAACACAAGAAGGCGATCGTATGTCGCGTTAGTTATAATTATGGCCGCGTCATTTTGTCTGAATATATTATCACTTATAGCACCAGCTTTGGTGCATATTGCAGACGATTATGATTATGTAATTCTGGAGCAGAATGAAACTCTGGTGTTCTGTGACTTCGCGTATGAATATAGAGATATTCATTATACAGTTAGTACTATTTCTTTTGTTGTGTTTACGTGTCTACTACCATTTACTTTGATCGTTTCATGCAATGCATTCATTTTGATGACAATGCAGAACAAAAAGGACGAATTTCCATCTAATAAGAACCGTCAACAATCGGTTTTAAACTTGACAAAGATTGTTATATTCGTTGGCGCACTTCATTGTTTATCGACTATGCCGCGTGGTATACACTGGTTTCTGTTACGTATTGGCACACACATACCGGACCAATACCACTGGCCATTAGAAGATGTTGCTAATGTTTGTTACTTCCTGAACAGCGGGTTTAACTATGTGTTCTAATGTGTGTTCGGGAATCAATTTCGGATGGATCTACAAGAACTAATGTGTTCATGTTTTGGAAAAAGGCAAGTTATCTTTACAGAAAACAAAGAAACAAAGAGCGAAACGTTGATTTATTGATTTCAAAAAAGGCAAGTTACCCCGACTGAAAAGAAAGAAACAAAAAGTTGAATGTGATTTATTGATTTGAACAAAGGCAAGTTATCTTAACCGAAAAGAAAGAAACAAATAGCTGAACGTTGATTTATTGATTTTAAAAAAAGTAAGTTACCCTGTCCGAAAAGAAAGTAAACAAAGGCTAATCGTTCATTAATTAATATTGAAAAAGGCAATTTATCTTGTCCGAAAAATAAAGAAACAAAAAGCTGAACTTTGTATTTAGATTTGGAAAAAAGCAAGTTATCTGAACCGAAAAGTAAGAAACTATATGCAGAGTTTGGTTTATTGATATTGAAAAAGGCAAGTTATCTTGGTGGAAATATTCAAAGATCTGGACGTTGGTTTATTAACCCCCACCGTGTATAATGTGTGAAACGAAATTATTTACAAGCTATTCATATACAACTATATTTTAAAATTTACTTTCTAACGGTGCAGTGGCGTTGTAGTTAGAGTTGCTTTTTTCCCTATTTCACTACATTTTCCAAATATCTATGTAGTATTTTATCTGTAACCATTTGTTGTTGTTACTGCTGTTATAAGTTGCTAAGACGCATTCGCTTTTAGAAAGAACAAAAATATTGTTAAAGACATTTTAAATGCCTGGAAATTTAGATATAGTTGAAAATAAGTGTGTTTGTTTTCTTAGCCATACTTTAACAATTGAACCTAAAATGATTGACCTAGTCTGACAAAGTTAATGGGTTTAATTAATCTAATAACCTTCTGTATATAACATAGAATAGAAACGCGCTATGTTAACCCTACTGACTGCTATTAAAATGTCACGGTATAACTTGGTATACTTTGCTAAACGAAATTATGTAAGTGTTCAAGAAAAGGGCGAAAATTAATAACAAGAGCAAAAATGATAATTCTAAAACATTAAGTTCTTTAAAAATCTTTACACTTGTGAAAAAAGATGTGCAGTAGATATTTGCTTTGACACTGGGAACGAAAATCCTTAATTTCATTGCGAATTTATAAAATTGTTACTTTTTAAAGTAAAAACTAATATGCAGCCAGGATTAGTTTTTAGTAAATTTTCATCGATTTAACAAAATATTATCTTTTAATTTGATTTTTTAAACCGTGATATACTAGATCACGTGACTCAACTGAAATATATATTTTCGTAATATCGTCCGTCTCTAGACCATTCATCGAAAATTTACGGTTTGATTTGATTCTGTTTTTCTCCTTGTGGCTTGTTTAGTTAATGCCAATTTTAGGACATTATTTTCGGTGGTCAGTAACCTTACCGATGTTCCTTGTTATAAAATTTGTCATTTCGAAGCTTTTGCCTAAAAAATGAACTCATGCAAGACCATTTGTGATAACGCAAACGAGTATGGCAGCATGACTCTTATTATTTTAATTGTGATGATTGATAATGATGATGATGATGATGACGACATCGGCGTTGACGACGAAGACAATGATGACGATGATGATGATAAACGCATTTCTTAAAAACTATCTGACATTATTTCAAAAACAATCTGTGTGATTTCCTTTTAGTACAGTAGACAAAATTTGTTAATGGTTTCGTTATCATGTGTGACATTTGTTTTTGGTGTGCATATAAAATCATGTTTCATACGATTACGTCAAACTTTATGTACTACATTTGATTAATGTTCGTATCATTTCCGGTGTGTTACATATTCACAGTTTGGGAGCGTATACCATATAAAAACTTGTATTTTGAGCCCAAACAAAATCGAAAAAAAAAATACCAGAGGTAAGAAGAAATCTGTTTGCAAAAAGAAAGTATTTAAATCAAAACAAGGTGAAAACTGGTATTTTACTCAAAACTCGATTATATCCGGACGGGTGTAGGTAAACTACCGTGAAATTCGATATGTGACATATATGAGTCACCAAAGCATTTGAACGACTTTATCATAATCACTGAATAACAAACAAAAATGTAAAATTTTGAAATATATTTATTGCACTGGCTGGTTATTAAAACAAGTAATAAATAACACTGTTTCTAATTGAGCAATAAATACTAATTAAAGGAATGATTAGACAACATACATGTATTTGTAATGTGTTTGGCAATAATGTTGCTAGGCGACAATATGCCAATATCCTTGACAATACTATTTTGTTAGTATACTATTTCAACATTTCAACATATCCATACTGAAAATGTAGTAAATGTCGATCTCTCATGCTTACTTCTTGCAAACACCTGGGAAATATAAATATTCGCACACAAAAATTATTTTTAAAAACTAACATTTGTTCATTTGCAATAAAATTCCGCTTAAACAAAAATATTGACACCAACATACGCTTATATTAGAGTATCCACAATTTTGTGTGTGACAGTCCCTTAGCTCACAGATTTCGTGAAGGCCTTTGTGTGCTTGTTTTCATTCTTTATCTCCCAGCGGCCGATCCATGGTCCCGTTATCGTAGTATCAAAATGATCAGTTTCAACAACCTGTTATTGAAAGGACAAAAAAAGAGAATCAGAATAAATATAAAAATTTTAATGGGTCTGTCATGGTTAGTCTGAGTCCAAACTTACTGGAAAAGAAGGTATTCCTCAGTACTAAACGGAGGTAAGTGCGAAGTTCCTACCTCTTGCGGATGGACCTAATTCTAATTTGACAGAGCCATGTCAGACTGTTAAAAATATGTTTAAACGAAGCCAAGGTTATAAAGTTGTTTGGAGAAAACCGTGTTTTTATTAAATCTTCAAATCATTACCTTTGTATATAGACATTTTTACACTATGACATTTCCAAAGAAACGGAAGTAGTATTTCGCGCAAGCGTATTCAGCGTAGGAAAAAGTAGTTATAACATAGAATTAGATTGTATAAGTATTAAAGTATTAAACAACTTTGTTTGCTAATTTTGACATATTATATGAAATGTAAAGCATTAAACTTGTACAATATTACAAAAATAAGTATAAGTTTTTTTTAGCAAACATACAGCAGTGTTGTTGTACTTTATTTTTGATTAGTAGAAATATTGTATGGACAAAAATGTTATACTTAATTTGATATTAGTTCTACCTTAATACTTCACAATATTGAAAAAGTGGATATCAATCCGAGATAGTAAATAATCATTAACGTCCTCATACAATTATTAGGTTGAAACTATATTCTTCCTTCCATAATTGTGTCTCATAGAAAAACAATTATCTCAATTAGTCCAGCGTGGTCGCAAAGGGAATTATTAAAAATTCATATTTTCCATATCATTGCACATTATCTTTTTATTACATTTTATCTCCACAAAGTTATCAAGGCACCATTCGCTTTTATAAAAGCAATTTAATAGTAAATATATATATTCATTTATTAAATTTTACCGTCAATTCTAATACATTTCTATGTAGGGCGATGATCTCTTGCCGTACGCAGATTGCACATGCGCGGAAAAATACTACATCCGGTCGACTTTGCTTGGCAACGGACCGCGTCGAAAAAAGGGCTCTAAGATCATATTTTTTTATTTTACTTTCCTTTTTGAAATAACTTCAAAATATCGTTTTACTATATATAATTCAAAATCATATTTGAAGTCTAAAACTCAATAACAAATTAAATCTGTTTGAATTTTTTGAAAATCCGAAGATTATTAAAACCCATATCAAATACCAGGAAGCTTCTCCGAACTGTACTAAGAAACAAGTATAAAATAACATAATCTTTTGAAAAACCACTTTAAAAAAAAAAATCTCCTGAAGAGAAACCCATTGGAAAAAAAAAAAGTTAAAAGAAAAATGAACAAAACTTTTTCAAAAAAATCCGTTTGAATCCACTTAGAACAAATTTTAAAATGTCATAATAAAAAGGTTTGTTTATGATTTAATTCAAAGGCAGCTTGACACAAAATGAAGAACTCCATTTAAAATACACATTGCTTGGAAAAACTGCTTTATATAACATCTATAGATCACAGAAAATTCCTACAAAAAATTGAATTGGCTTGGAAAATCTGTTGAAAATAAATAAAATTAAATTTTTTGAAATTAAGCCCTATCCTTGATGAAAACCTGCTTGAAATAATTTAAAAAACCTGTTTAAAACAACTCGATACCACTTTTAACAAGTTGAACTTTTGAAACCTTTGTTAAATTACTTCTAAAACAAATTTAAAGAACCCAGACCTGTTTAAAGTATTTCTTTTGCCACACCTCCTTCCTGTCGACGGATAAAAACTTGTCCCAGTCTTTTTTAACGTCCGGATCAGTGGACGATCTGAACACGATGCCCTCAGCTATGTCGTAAAAGCCGTAATTCTCGAACGGTGATTGCCAACGTAGATCAATACTCCATCTGACGTCATTAGATTTATTCGGCAAACTAAAATAAAACATGTATTTGTCAAAAGTTTACAGATTTAGCATATGGTGGCACAGAGGGAACATTGAAAAATATTCAAGTACGCACGAGCTTACCATCACGTGCGCTTATGTGAACTGTTTCGTGCGCCACTTCAACTGTCAGAATTAACCATTAAGTTAAGTTAAGTGCAGATATAATTATTGTGATAAAGATATTTCTAGTATATTGATAAACATTTCCACCGTAATATGGAAAATGTGCAAAGTGATTAAAAGCAGCTCCTAAATAACTTAAGTGGGAATGGAAAATGTACGTTTGAATTAAGGGGACATAGCAAACATCTTATTTTATATCGTACTCGCACCATAGTATTACGTGGCCACGCAATATGTATAACGTTATTACTAGCTAAGTATTATGTGCGCACGCGACAGTATAACGTGACCACACATGGCATTGTGTACAAATGCGCACGTAAAACGCAGTATGGCCAAGCAGTACTATTGTATACATACGTACATTCTATCAAGTAATGTCTGTCGCGTAACCATGTTATAGCTGTCGCATGCGCACGTAGTAAATAAAAAAATTCTCATGTCCCTTTATGCCACTGTAAATGTGATGACCCATCTAGAGACATTTTGCTTCAAATAAAAGGTGTCATAAGGAATTTACCTTCTATGCGGAATCGTGTTACTAAATAACAAAAATCCACCATAAGGAACTGGAACAGTCACAAGATCCTTCTCTGTGTCGACCCCTGTATGAAAAATACAACATTCTTTCTCATTGGTCTTTTTTCTTCGTTCGCATCCAACGCCGATTTTCATTGGACACGTATGACGATTATATTATTTATATACATGACGACTGTATATTTAATTTCTACTGTAATCTGAGAACCCAATATTGTAATACCGTAAAGACCTTTGACGGACACTTTGACTGTTTGATATGAATATATATAAAGCTAACAAATGTTTAAACGTGGTCATATAAGCTGTTGTATAGTACATGTGCAAATTAATATTTAAACATATCAGGTTATATGGCCAATATACAATTGATTGTGAGCTTATATGAGCCGAGTCGCGAGGCGAAGATATATGGCAAACAACCGTGTACACACACGACCATAAATATTGCATTGGGATGTGGTCAGTAGTTTATAGTATATTTACGAGTATGCTGTCACAAACAATACAGTACGCTTTGATATTTCCGTGTATGAAAGTTAATATGCTCCTTTGCAGAGCCGTCCGGTTAACTCAGTAGGTAAAGCGTTGAATTGCAAATCGGACCCGATTTGCTTTCTGGACGGCACAGGTAACTTTCGTTTTGATTGACCATAAAATCCTTTCTTCGGTAATTCGCACTGTACCTGTTTTTGGCAAGTACGGAAGTTAGTTCCTTGGGAAAATGAAGGAAACTAGTACTGGTAAACTGTTCGACAGCCAGCCATGGAACAATGCGGTGGCTGAACTGTGCTCTGGTAAATTTAACGTGGCTTACTGTAGTGATCCGCAGTGAAAACTACCAATACCACCAACTCATTAGAAAACAATATTCTAACCTAAAGATGTGTTCATCTCCTCTTCCGACAAATCGATGAACCACGTGTCACTATGACAACATGTATGGTTTCCCATCTTTCCCTGTTTATGCCCGAATCTCGCCATCTTAAATAAAGAAACATGACACGTCCGTTTCCTTGATTATCACTTTAATATTGTAATAGACCTACAAACTGTACAATACGAACGTCAACGTGAGGGCACGATATACTATTAAGCTTACGACTTTTATAAGCCACCATATACCGTTATATTTATCTGCACGCAAGAGCAAGCAGGCAATCATACTGTTTAATATAAAGGCACTTATTCATTCAGTATTCATATCATTTAATGCATAGATCGCTGACCTGTCTAATTCTAATTAACATATTTTTGATACAATAAGAACTTCACTTCATGTTTAGTTTATACAAATTTACTTTCTTTCGATTGTGTTGGGAGCTATAAGCTTATTGAAACGCTCTCGAATCCGTTGCTGGAACTAACCAGTACTACGCAATGAATGTAAAGTTTCTTGCTCAAGGAAACAACGGCTTGCTCCTGACAGGGTTTGAAACCACGCGGTCAGCAAACCTTAGATTACTAGTCCGACGCGTTAACCACTTCATGTTTGTGGTTAAATCTATTGTTATTCCAATAAAAGGTCATAGTAGGGATCCATCAATTGATCACCAAATTGATATATGTTTCTGCGTGGGAGTTAGATTGAAAGCACGTTATAAACTTATGATTTTACAAGGTAGTTTGAAATATGTTAACAGCATGGGTCTTCAACACTACAGCACGTTATAAAAGTATGACTTTAATAGCCAACATATTGGTAAACTTAGCTTCAACTTATGACTTTAAAAAGTTAAACTTTTTAATAATCTCCCTACACGGGACGTCAATATAACAAATGATACACTTAGAACTTTATAAGACGTCAACACACAGCAAGTAACCAACTTATGACTTAAAAGACCGCTATATTTCTTGTAAAGAACGTCAGTGTGAGAGCATTTTAGAAGCTTTCGACTATATATGAATTAAAATACCTGCATGCATCCATTTTCTTCGTTTGCATCAAGGAATGGGATCCAGGCTGTTGGAATCAAGTGATCGTACGCCTCTTCACTAAAGTACCCATTGTCTGAAAATCGGTATTTAATCACGTGATATAGAAATGTTAACTACAGGACATAACATGCGAGTTTGCAAGAGTTTGCAGAGTACTAACTGTAACGTGATTTTATTCTGTTTATCACGTGACAGGGCAACCAGTGTGTGGAGACTCGACCGGGCGGACAATACGCATACTGTTACATTTTTAAATGGGTGCGGATGGCAGTGACTTAGTTTATTATCGGGCGGGATATGCTTAAATGTTACGGTTTTTATATGACCTAAAAACAGTTTTTCAAACCTACGTTTGTCTAAATAAAACAGAACAACACTTTACACATGTCTGACTAAAAGTCTAGAAAGTTCGTTAAAATAATGTGTGCTTAAATTAATAGTCAAGTTAAGTAAAACCCAAATTAATAAATACCCTGGTGCCACGGAACAACCATTGCTTTACTGTTCGGTGTCTTAGTGCGCATATTCCAAACCGGATGTCCAGCTATATCCGGTCCAATCAGCTGCTCGATCAGATTCAACAAACGCTCATTGCACCATAAATCACGGAATGCCTAAGAAAGAAATAGTTTGTGTAGGTTTGAGATTAAATAAGCTAATACAACTACGTTTCTTTTATCGTCTATTATAGCGATATGTTTTGGAAACAGAAGTCAACGATTAACTGAGAGTAAAAGCAATAATTTGCGCATGCGCACAGCCACTTACTTATTAAACATATCTAAAGGTCCTTCTATGTAACTCTATATCTTACTAAATGTAAAGTTTCTTAGACATTCATATAACTCTATTCTATCCAAATGAAAGTAAGAAATTTTATTCCGATTTCACAGTAGGCCTATCCTTACACAGTAGATGGATGCGATTATTTATGCCACCCTTCGTCCGTAGACCAGCCGGTTTCCGATCAATAACTTAAGAACGCCTCGGCCTAAAAACGCCAAACTTGATTTTCATGTTGGACATGACCAGTAGATGAACTTTTTTTGTTTTTGGGGTCAAAGGTCAAGGACACATTGACTGTTTCACAAACATATCTTGTTTGACTGGGTTTTAAAAAAAGGAATATGTTGCAGCTTTCTAGCATCATTGGTGGATGAATACTCAGACATACTTCCGGGCAATATTTCATACATTTAGATTTTATATGAATCACTGATCTTGTGTGAGCTTTCTGTCATGAATTAATAAAATACCTTAGTTAAATTCAATACAACAGCCATGATGATATACAAAATGAGTAGATCATAGCTGCTGGCCTCCAAACCCCAGCAATCATTTAGGAAAACATACAAAAACATGAACTGTCAGTAGGACATCGAGTTCGACTACATTTCTAAGTGCTTCATAATAAAACAAGAGCTTGGATAATTAATAAAGTTCCAAATTCAAAAGGGCCATAATTCTGTCAAAAAATCATGTAAGCGTTATGGGCCTTGATAAGTGACCTTCTATTATGCTATCAAGAAAGTGTGTAAAGTTTCAACCCATTCCATACTGTAGTTTTGGAGAAATCAACTTTCACCAAAGTGTGACCCCGATGCAAGGGTGAGTACAATAGATTTCCCAATCCTTCAAGAAGTCGAGCTAAAAATGTCTTATATCACTCCTAGGATTGTCTAAAATGCTCTATAACATATATTGCAATGTCGCATTTTCTCATTAAAACGTTCATCACTTATAGACATGTTAAAAAAAACATGAAAATCACGTGATCACAGTACTAACCTTTGGTATCTTTTGATGCTTAAAGAGAAGGATGTTCGCTCCGGGAAACTCTTCTTCTAGTTTTGTAAGTCTCTGAAACAACCCATATTCCTTGAACAAGTCTGAAAAGAACAAAAGATGCCCTAATTACCTTTGAACTTTAAAAAGTACAAGTAGTACCGAAATTTATGAACATTTGCGCATCATTTTGCGCAGACTTATCAAACGCACGTTCGCCCCTGAACTTGTGAAGGGTTTAAATGAATCTGGTTTCGTTTGTACAAAGTGAACTAATGTAAGCTTGCTATTGCGTTTGAATGGAATTAACACCCTGGAAAGAGTGCGCAGAGTTATTACATGCAAGCAAGATCGAGTTCAAGATAATCCTTACACTTGAGTGTATGTTAACATGCGAATGGTGGCTGGTTTCTGCCACCTACACATGATCTAGTGTCTTCGCCAATCAAAATATCGTTATTTTGCCTAAGATGCCCTATCAAAATCCAATGGCGAGGACTCGATAAGTGATTATATTATCGTGTCTTCGTCTTCGTCTTTTGAGGGGCGAACTCTCGAAGACACGAAATGGCACAAATCAGCCACCATACATGCGCATAGTTATAAAAGTTGTGAAATGAAAATTATAATCTTAGCAGCGTAAGAAACGACTACTTACGTTTGATCTTCCCAGCCTCATAAAGCTTATTCGCCAGTAACTCCACCATCTCGTTTATGGCATCACGACAAGGTTGTAGCTCATCCTTGCTGAAGAAATTCTCGACAACAATGTAGCCCTACAAATAATGGTTACATTTTACTACTTATATCATGTGCTCGGAAAAAGTCCGATTCCTTGTCCTGTGAAGAACTTAAGATGCGTTCACTTGACTAGATACAATAGAAAAGCACATTGTTATAACGAACCGCTTTTTAAATGAATATATCATATGTATACATGTATATATAATGGAAAGTTACGAACTTAACATACTTAAAAGAACTGTTACTAGCAGGAGGGATTATGGGATAGGGTCCAATGTGCCGTGACACACACAGTGCATTTTATTTTACACATGCCCGACCACCATCATTCTGTAAATTTCCGGAGAAATAAAATCAAAGCGCTGAAAGCACTGATATTCTTTGGAACTCCTTTTAATTCTTAGAAAAGGATATTAGCATCGTCCTGCGATTTGGGTTCTAAATGAAATAATGCGCAAACGTCATAAATGACGTCAAAAGTCATGTCCAAAAATATTATAACTGCGAAAATACACATGTAAATATTTAAGTTTTGTTTACGTGTATGTTTGTTATAATGGCCGAAGAGCTAGATATTTTCTTTACTTGTATTTTTAACAATTTGTGATTATTTTTAAATTGATTTAAACTTAATATTTTGAAGGTCAGTCAGATACAGTATTCGAAAACGAAAGTAGAATAAATTTCGACATCCTCTTTATATCAACAGTGAAAGTGTCTATAGCATGAATGTTTTATCACTAGGCATTGAACTTTTTATCAAATCAATATCTATAGCTATATAGTTTTTTATTTAGATCTAATACATAAAAAACCTATGGCTATGCAGAGCTTAATCCTATATCTATATACTGTGTGATACTTCACATGTGAAAAGTAATTTGTTAAATGGCTAAAATGATTAAGAAGTAAAACTGTATGAACTCTCGAAACGAAGCGTTTTAATTTTTTACACTGTTTTAAGCACAAATAAATGAGGATATATATTATTGGTTTTATGTGTCTGCAAAGGATAAACATGTGATAAGCTATCTCAACTGTTACACTTAAATCTGGAACGATATTAAATATTAAAGATAAAAATCTTGAAAAAATATGTTCGGTCCTTTCACATAAAAAACAGTAAAGTCCCTTTAAGACTCGTTTGTTTCAGACATAAGTATGTTACAGTACTGAAATAACTAACTTCTCTTATTATCAGATTATCTTATCTACTAAATATTGATATTTCCGGTTAATAAGATTCGTAGTGTATTAGACTAACGTAAATTAATTTGCATATGGTCATCAATTTGTTTTTAATGATAAAAATTGATAGTTCTAGAATCTACGTGATGATCAATGAATTCTATTTTCAGTTGAATACTACATTTTTATCATATATTCATTTTCGCTATTATTAAACAAGCAGTGACTTTTTTCAAGGCAGAACAAAAATAAGTATGTACTTGCTTTGTTATTTGGAGAGTAATGACTGGTCAGAACGGAGTCATATAGTATTTGATTCAAATTCCTGTTAAGTTCATTTGAATACACATATTTTTGACGCAAACGTGTATCAACGTGCACCGGTCTGAAGCAAACCAAATTTATTTCATATTAATTTATTTTGTTTTACTTTCAAAAATAAAGTCGGAACAAAGAAATATATATCACCAGGAAGAAAATAAGTTAATTAATACAAGGCGATCAATGCTCGGTTAAAACAAGAGAAGACAAGTGCGAGCATGCGCGGTGATAACAGGTGTGAGCATGCACGGTGAAGACAAGTGAGAGCATGTGCGGTGAAGACAAATGCGAGCATGTGCGGTGATAACAGGTGTGAGCATGCGCGGTGAACACAAGAGCTAGCATGTGCGGTGAAGACAAGTGCGAGCCATGCGCGGTGATGACAGGTGCGATCATGCGCGGTGATAACAGGTGTGAGCATGCGCGCGGTGAACACAAGAGCGAGAATGTGCGGTGAACACAAGTGCGAGCATGCGCGGTGAAGACAAGTGTGAGCATGTGCGGTAAAGACACGTGTGAGCATGTGTGGTGAAGACAAGTGCGAGCATGCGCGGTGATGACCGTTGCGATCATGCGCAGTGAACACATGTGCGAGCATGTTCAGTGAAGACAAGTGCGAGCATGCGCGGTGAAGACAAGTGTGAGCATGTGCGGTGAAAACAAGTGCGAGCATGTGCGGTGATGACAGGTGCGAGCATGTGCGGTGAAGCCAAGTGCGAGCATGCGCAAAACAATTTTTTTTTATAAAAATGAAACTCGATCGAGACAATACGTGGATGCATTTCAGTGGAATCGCAATACCGCTAAGGCATCTCTGTCAGTAAAAGGCCCAGTTTGCCTCAGAAATGCTATAATTTGTATTTCTCAAAATCTTTTCATTTTTGGTATCTTGTTACAGTTTGCAAAATGAAAATCATTTGCCATATAGAAGAACCGCACATGCTCGCACTTGTCTTCACCGCACATGCTCACATATATTAAATGTACATGTATAGCTGAATCTTAAACGAGTCTTTGTTAGTTTTACTCCGATGATTAAATCACAACAAAATGTTTTTGTTAAATGATATGAAAGAAATTGTCCTTTTCTAGCTTGCAAAAGATTTCTGTTTTTTTGTTGCTTTTTTTCTGTTTTTTTCTTCTTCTTTTTCTTCTTGTGTGTATGCAAATAATGCTTAAAATTTACTTGCAGCGATTTACTTATTTTCATTAGCATGCTTAAATTTACTTGTTATATTGAAAGAAGTCACGCTCGGTGTTTATTGGATTCCGGCTGCGAGTGTATAGACCTACCAGTTGACGTAGAGGCTCTCACATAGCTCAGTCGGTATGAGCGCGAGATTTGTAATCTCGACAGTCTGGGTTCGATTACAGGGCTAGCCAATAAAAATTTATAATCAGTGACTCGGATGAGACTTTAAATCGAGGTCCCGTGTATGACTACTAAACACTTGGCACGCTAAAAAGGAGAAGCTTCTGTGATTGGGGCATATTTTCTGTATCTATTATCTTGCCACTATCCTCCAAAATTTAAAATGACTAATCACTTCTGGAGGATTCGCCCATATGGGCAACTGATGGCGAGTATAAATAACTCTCACACACGCGCGCGCTTGGTCAGCTTGAAAATGTGGCCAGCAAATCGTCGAAAAAAATTTGGTTGTCCCTTTTTTCGCGATGGGCAAAGGAATGGGAAGTTGTTCTTGGGTGGAACATTTAAAACAGTGAAAGGAATAAGATATTATCAGATACAAAATACAGATACTGCTTTAATAATAATAACAATATTACATATACTTAAATAGTGATAATGATATCATAAAAATTAATAATAGAAATTATAATTATAAGAATTATATATTAACGATAGAAATTCTCGTAACTGAATTAAAAATTATGATTAAATCAATATAACTTTCATAATAATGCAAAAATTAGATAATTAGTTTGCTTTTATTTCTTTTCAGGAAAGATTAGTACTGCCGGTTAACTGCAGGTAGTATTTCCATGCGGATCTCATCTGATAATCAAAATGAGGTTTTAAAATTGCACTTTAATAATCGATCCTCGCGTTTTGAGGCGGTTGTCAGACCAGAACAGATTCAATCAAAAGAGCTCAGTCAACGGCGGCAAACCTACCTGTACAACTCCGTACGTCCATATGTCAGACCAGCATATAGAGACGAGTTTTGTAGTGTAAACATTGACGCAAATGTTAAAATAGAGAAACATAAATTTTTGATTTATAAAACTTTATATATTGTGTATCAATGTTATTCTACCAGGCTGCTACATTAAGTTAACATTTTGAAAAATGTTACAACTTCAGAAAAAATTCTGCTTGGCCATGATAATGACATCATATAAAATGTACCACTACCTTAACACTTACTTAACTTCATTTCAAGTTAATAATAATATATATTTCCCTCTCGTGCATTTGAACAAAACTGCATGCTAGAAAAGTTGATTAACGGAAAACAAGGATGTCGATTTAGCGACAACAATATCGACAAGAAGTTTTAAAATGACGTTGTAAAATAAGTTGTATTGAAAAAAAAAAATTTATCTTAGATATATGAATTATATCGTAAGAAAGTGTATTTCTTTAGCTTTAATTTGATATAAAAGTCTCAAAATCGATACAAATGCCATTAAGACCCATTTTCGCAAGACTTTGCCCTTATATATTTAGGTATTTTAACTATAACTGAAGTAGAAAAAAATAAATTAAAGTAAAAGTTGTACATTTCTGTTGTTTGAACGATCATCGCTGAATTATATCACGTTTTGAAAAATAACACATGAAGTTAAACAGGGGGTAAAAAAGGTTGAGACTAATTCTTGCAGGCGGAATGCTGGTAGGTCTTCGGTTTTGACAACATATTTAAAGTAGTTCCAGACTGATTGTTCAAAACTATTCGCATTTTTGTTGGTCGTATCGATATACATATAGTTTGTAACAATTAAAAAAACATGTACAAAATTAATATACTGTAACTTAACCACACATTAAGTTTAATCTAGACTCAAGTTTATTGCATGAAACCTTAAACGCCCATGCTAAAATATGCATAAGCATAGATTGTACATTTAGATTAGAAGTCTGTATTATCATTAAGAGCACAGGTTAGCATGTCACAGAATAAATCAAGTAACCCTACTGATATAAGAGTGGGGCACAAAAACGGATAAATAGAGAATAACATGCAAGTGTCTGATATAACAAAATTTATCAGGCTAAGCTAAGAAAAAAAAAGAAGGACGAGGCTCTACCGAGCCCTTCATTTTATTTTTCGGACCAAACCTGATAAATTTTATAATATCAGACACTTGTTTGGCATTCGATCTCTTTATCATGTTTGCATTTTTAATATGCGTTTCTTTTCTTTGAATTTCAAATAAAACAAAACCCCTCAGGCACCTCTCGACTTCATGCCGCGCGTAGTAATATGCCAAGAAATAGTTCCAAATATTTTTTACTCAAATGTAAGATTGACAAATCTGTTCGATTCAACGTTTATCAGTTTAATATTTTCAAACTACAGTGTATATGGTAAGAGGAAAAAATATTCCATTCTCTTCATTTTATTTCAATATGTTTTGATGTGCAGATGGTGACTGATAAGCACTTTATCAAACGAATCATTGTAGTAATGACATGATAAAAATATAATAATTATAATGTGCACAAATATTTGCAGTACACATTTGACATATTCTTCGATGTTTGAAAATTGTTTTATTTGCATAATTATATACATAAGTAATTTTTTGCAAGTGTGGTATACACACAGTGACAATATCAATTACAAAACATATTACAGAATCTTTAATATACATGTGTAATTTTATATCAAATCTGTCCTGTACTTGTAAAAGTTTGCTACAGGATCACTACGTATCGCTATATGTTTAAAGAAGTCAACATGAAACACGTGAAAAATAACAAAAGTTAAAAATATAAAAGAGTCTAAAGCAGGAAAATGAACATAATATAAAAAAAAACTATATTTGCATTAAAATGCTTATACTATTGCATGTAATGTAGCAGCATATCTTCATAGGTTTAAGTATTAGTAAGAGTCTGATTTAAGTACGAGGAGGGGGGAGGGGGTGGCGTAGCCATGTAGGCAAGAATAATAGCACCTTCTCTGTCGTCACAATATGAAACCCTAGAAAGAAGTGAACAATGTACGAGCATCTGAATATGACTTTTTTTACGGCGTTCCGGTGATTAGGACCAACGAGTTTTCTCTAAGAACGAAAGGCGCGAAACATATGACAGTACGAAGGTGACAGTACGATGGTGACAATACGACAGTACGACGGGCTATACGATTTTACTGAAATTAAATCTGACACATTTTAATAGAAATTATACAGTATACTTAGTGCTCTCTGCAAACATTTATCATGCACAATAATCCCCGCATGTACCTCTAGATAGCGAACAATATCTATATGATAATATTACATTATTAAATGGAGGTTATAAAAAACGTTTACCTCTTCGAAAAATTGTTTGATTTGCTCTAGCGGGAGCTGTCCTGGTTTTTTCTCCGTTGGTTGAGGCGGGATTTTGGTATAAGGCTCAGGATAACAGTCCGTTAATCCATCATTTTTGTCCGATCTACGGGACGACATAGTTTTACTCCTACTTATCTGCACTCTAATCTTAATTGACATAAGATAAACAAAAGTAAGAGGCTCGTTGAAGGCGTAAATGTTGAGAAAAAATAAAATAATCCGCTTTTTTATTTTAACATAAGACCTTGTTCGTTTGTTGTTGTTTTTTTGTTTATTTTATCAAATTATACTTTTGAGTAAGCTAAATATGTAACGGTTAAAGCGCGCGCCTCTCACACGAGAGGTCCGGTATGAGTTTGAGCCTTACTCAGGTTACGGGCATGTGTCCTGGTAGATGTTCAGATAAAGGACTTGATTTATATTAGTTACAAGAACTTATTTCACAATCTAGCAGAAAAAAAGAAAAGTGTTCATTTCCGTATAAATTAAGCTTATAAACGCTACGTGATTCACCCTCCAAATGTCTGTACACCACCGAAAACAGCTAATTTAACCGCTTTAAAGTGATTCCATCCATTGTTTCTATCGGTTCAGGGGATAATAAAAGAAAAAAAAAATCTTTGTATCGATGAAAACTTGCAACTTTCCTGTGATCCATATGCGCAATTAAAATTCCAGCATAACAACAAAATCCATAGTTACACCGTAATAACCAATAATAGTAAAATTTAATGATATTTTGTTTGGATTTGAATCACAAAAACACTGTAAATGTCATACGGAAAACACCTCAGGTGCCACTCCGCGCATAAATGATTTGAAGGAGAATAAAAACCACGGAGGAAGAATTTGTTAGCCTACAATGGTATTTGGTATTACTATTAAATAGTGAAGCTGTTGTTGATATCTGCTCTGTACCACATATTTAGATGTTGGGCCTATAGTTACAGGATAGGTTTGGCCCCTTTGGTCTTCTCATTTGTTGATATTGTCTTATTTATTAATATAGCGGTAAACTTTTATTTATTTCAATTGAAAACAACTTATATTATCTTGACAGACACTATATATATTTATCGCCATATTTCCAATGTTTTGCTTATACAGTAAGGGTTAGTTTTGCATATTTAACCTTTTTGTAATTTATGTGCCCGTTGTAAATGTGAAAATTACCTCACAATATGAATATTACATTGTATATACATTTCCAAAATTTCCATTTTCAGTGGAACAGTGACCTAGTGGTTAAGGTATCTGCCTCTCATCCCAGATGTGTCCCAAATATGTTTAAACCAAAATTTCTATGAAAATTGGCATGAATATGAGGGCGTGCTGCTTTTATACTCGTACTGTGCTAGTGATAGTTTGGATTGATCAAAATTTTCACAAGGAGTATTTTTATACCACGGCTATTAGTGGCCCATGTGGTCCCCCAAGAATCAAAAACGCCAAAGACATACTAGACTGATTAACATTTGAAGCAATAAAATATAGTCATATTAACTACTGATGCGTATCTCACAAAATAGTGACGAGGTTCAAGAGTGTACCTGTACTGGTATCATTTTAGAATATTCAACAATATTTTAAGTATATAGATTCTTCACGATAGGCGAGTGTGTTCTAAAACATAAATCCCAGGATAATAAAAAGTCACATAGTGCAATTCTGAATGTCATGCGTGGAAGCTTCAAATACTTTTAATTGCAAATTTTCACCCCAGCAAACTGTCGCTCCATTTTATAATTGTGGTGAACGGAAAAACGAGGTAACTGCATTTCTGAGATAAAGCGTAGGCCGATTTAAAGGGCTAATTGTAAGTATAGTGTTTAAGTCGACATTTTTCAAAAATTGATCAATGTAGTTCCTTGCAGGAAAGAACCTTTCGCTCTATTACTTTCGAAAAATATCGATATAAAAAGTTAAGAAAGCCCCCAGGAGTAATTGATGTTGCATGTAGGACAATTTTTTAATATGTGTAAAAATTTTTCCAATACACTTATTCAAGAAAATCCGAATGGTACAGCATTTCAATGGTTGGAAGTTCGATGTTCAACAAATCTTCTTTCACTTCCTCAGGGGAAAACGTGTTTCTTTTCGTAGCGGCTCAACTCATGGGAAGCCTTAAACAATTCTACACGAAACTTAATCGTTTTTTTTAACATAATAAAATGCTCTTTCATAATATCTAATCTAATACAGTAACACCGTAAACATCAGGCAAACATTGTACCACGAAGCGGTTCATGTCGCTTTATCAGCAAAACATCAGACAACTGTAAACAGGCATACTCTTCACCAGAAGAGGCATATTTAGCCGTAAGATATCATCGCAGAAGCATTTTCCGGTGGTTTAATCACAGAAAATAAATAGAAAATAAAGTTCTCGTTACTCTTCCGTGGAGAAGAAGCGGTAACAACTGACAGATAAATATTCTTTCAGGGAAGTAGAGGAACCGCGTTTACAATTAACGGATGGAAAGTGGTTCACTGGCGCGGTTACAATCAGTAAGTAAATGATAATCATTATTAAATGGGGTAAAGGTAATATAAATAACAAAGAAAACCGTTTTTATTTCACAGTAAAATTGATCACAAAAGTTTTTAATCATAATTCATAATTACACAACATGTAAAAAGTAAAAGTGAGCAGAAGAATGATGCCGACAATGATGATTTGTTTAAAACATGAAATTTAAAAACATGACTTTTTAAAATTTTTAATAATAATATAATAAATTAATTTAAAGAGCTAGATAAATAAAACTACTGCTATTGGGATTTCCGTGACGTCACTTTTCGCTGTCTGTTTCTGAAAATGGAATGAAATCAAAAATATTTTATATCATTTGTACAATGTTGAAGTATCTAAGAACTAACATGGTGTAAATTTTAATTATTTATCATCATTAATCCCAAAGATAAGTTTATAAACAAAACACAAATAAACGATAGGTTCTTCATCAAAAATATGCAAAACAAGGGAGATAATACATGTGAAAATGCCGCCGATATAATTCCCTTGAGGTCAGACCTGTCCAAAGTTACCTCCCTGACAAAGCCATATATTGCAAAATTTATAACAACAAAATCTGTAATAACTATGCAGTTGGTCTCTGTTCACAAACACTGTAAAGGTTATATGGCAACTTTTCAGATTTACTGGTGGAGAAAGACCTCGGGACTGGTACCCCTCCGTGCATTTTTTCAGGCACAAACAGGCACCGGAGTAGAACCACTAATGTTCTGATAGCTTCCTCACATTAAAAAAAGAATCCAAAGACTTCAGCAGGGTTCGAACGCACATCAGTAACGGGCCAATGGTTTGAAGTCAAACAACCTTTACCTCTCAGTCAGGGATGTACCCACATGCTGAAGTACAAAGGAACAGGTCCGATACAAATCTGGTTAAAATAACCGTTACAAGCAAATGTGGTAAAGACATTAGATATTATTTGCATCAACAACTTACCTCGCTTCTGAACGTGTTGATGTATATTCAAACCAGAATACATGTGGTATTAATGTGGAATCCCGTACCATTAAAAGCTCACCTAAAGGACTGGAAAATGACCAAAAAAATTATAAATTAATTAATGCTAGAAGTTACTGTACATAACGGATTTTAATACTTCATAATGTAGACAATACAAAAATATCATTGACAATTTTCTCTATTTCTTTTCATCAAAAAATTCAGTTTTTTTTTGTTTTGTTTCTTGTTTTTTGTTTATTTTTAGGAAAAACAAGTTATTATCATTTTACCACTGATAAGGCCTGAGTAATAAAATTATCCTTTTAAGTGTGCATTTTACACCACACTGTGCATTTTACGCCACACTTACAGTTAAAACATCATAGGGCAACTTTCCATCTTTACTGTTACGTGTAGGAGAGTTAGTTTGTTTCTTGATGTTATTGTTGTTGAATAAGTCGTAACAACACTTTAAGGTCATAGTGCAACTTGCCACCTTTACTGGAGGAGGAAGACCTCAGGTGCCTCTTTGGGCATAAGTCTAGGCACCAGCAGTCACCCTAAGTAGAACCAACAACCTTCAATAAGCTAGCTGAAAAATTTCCTTACACGAAAGAATACAAAGTCCCTGATGGGATTCGAATCCACAGCTGTGAGGAACAAGCGATTTCAAGCCTGCGACCTTAACCACCCTGCCATGAAGGCCTGCTGAAGGAAGTTATTAGACACTTTTTCATGTTAATTTTCAGCACTTTATGTTATTTTCAGCACTTTATGCAAGCACCCAAGTACAATCTTGTGAAAGTCACATTGCATCCTCATACACAAGCATCTAAGGTGCCATGCAGGATTCGAATCAACAGAGTTCAGGACCAAATGATTCAACTTATTATTGACCAACATCCCATGATCAAAAATTCAGACAGAGAAAGAAATTCAATGAGAAAAAATTTCATTGTGAAAGTTTGTTAAAAATCAAGATTTAATTTACCATGATGCTATATACGGGAAGAAGGGTGTTAACACAACTTGTACAGCAGTAAACCAGATGGTGCCTAACAGAACACCTATCACACTTCCCCATAACACCTGACTTCCTGTGTGATACCCTAAGTATATCCTGAAAATACATCAAAGAAACAACTAGTTCTGTTATAAATACAATACACTCTTGCTTGTTAGTATGGATTTCTTAAAATATAGTTTACGCCAATGCTAGAAAATCTCATACTCGTCCCAAAAAAAAAGCTGCATGCTTTATAATGGCGTCATTCTGCAACCTTTTTTATGAATAAATGGCATGCTAAGGGTAACATCTTTTTGCCATTATGAATGAGGTTGAAAACTCATAAATAAAAGTGCTTAATAATAAAAATATCATTTTTTTTTCCCAGTATATTTCCTGAATTTCCTATATTATCTTCTGTTGTTATTTGGCAATTGGTACATTTATAGTGTTTTAGTATTTTGTATGGAAGACCACTCAAGTCAAAATACTACTTTGTTTACATTTTGTTACTTTTATGATCAATGATTTGCACATTCAATGCTTGTATCTTCAGGCAATAAGCATCTACCATGCTCTGATACAATTATCTAAATATTTGCCCTTCCCAATGAAGGAAGCATCCTTTAATTGCTGAGGCAAAATGTGCATTAAAAGACAAAATATAAATGTACATACTGTACAACTTCTGCACAACAGAACCCCCTAGGAGACAAAGATTTCCAGTAATTGCCGAGAGGTGTGGCTACAGAGAGGCCAAATCCTATAAGAATCTTACACTGACTGCCGGTACACACCGGAATATCTAGCTCAAGGGTAACTGTTTACAGTGGTAACAAGGCGCTGCTTATCAGTTACCTAAGAGCTAGATATTCCCATCTGTACCGGCAGCTTGCATATTAAATATCAATTCTTTTCAGAACAGAAATTACGAAATTGATATTCTCATCACACACTTTTTTCTTATAGTTACTGTAATAAGTAGTGTATAAACTTACAACTGCATTCATAACAGTAAAATGATGTCATCCTAAGAACGCAATTCATTCATAAATAGTGCGCGGCAATAGTGGCATTTAAAGCACGTAGCTTGTATTACATGAGGGATTGTAAAACAGGTTTTTCTAGCACTGGTGTAAATGGTAGATAATCCCGTTTGATATGCAAGAAATTATGAGGTCTTACTTGGAGAAAAATTGCAGCTGTTGTTGTAAAGAAAATATTGGTATATAGAGGGTGCGCTCTGTAGAGGATTTACTGTAAACTATCTAAAATATGGTAAAATGGTAGAAGGAAACTTTATCATACCTGGCATAGCCTACCAGTCCTGCTACCGTAAGACTTCCAAAAGCTGCAGCATATTTCCATAGATCATCTATCAGGTTATAATTTTTATACACCCTGAAATACATGTCAATATTCAATATTAAAATGATATTTACCAGTACAACACTTCATATATCCTAAACTGACTTGACCATCTTTAATCTGGACAAAACCATTCATCATTTTTTAAGGAAAATTTCATTATTTATACAGACTGAATAGAAAAGAGCGCAGGCCATGATCAAATGGCCTGTTCAGATTGACCTGATCACATAGGAATGTTCAATTGCCACTAGTAGGTAAAAAGTTAATGCATCTGTAATAAAACTATTGTGATTGTATTAAGAAATAGAGGATATTGAATGAGTGTAAGTTCAATACTGAATTTATTGCACAAGTTGAATAAAATTATATTATGCAAGCCTCTGGCGAGCATAATATTATTTTATTCAACGAGTGCAATAAATTCAGTAATTAACTTATACGAATTTAATATTCTATTTATCACATACCCAAAATAAAGACCGTTTAAAGTGAAATAAGAGTCATTTTTCATTGACGCACCTATAGTATAACGCTAACATTTAGCGCGTCTTTACACTATGTTTGTATAAAGCTAATGAAGTCACGTCAAAATATATGCATGGCCCTGCAATACCATATTTACGGAGTCGCAAAATCGGCACAGGTGTGTGATAAAATATCAAACTATAATGTAGCATTGCTTATTTTTATATGATCAACAATAATATCCAATAATTTTACTTGAAATGTTTAAATGTGAGTAACCTCATAAATATAAGTTGCCTTATTTACCTTATGAATATGAAAAATATCATATAACTTTCATTATAAGTTGCCTAACTTACCATATAAATAAGAATAATATTAAATAAGTTGCCTAACTTACCATATAAATAAAAAAAAGTTGCCTAACTTACTGTATAAATATTAATAATATCAAATAAGTTGCCAAATTTATATAAACATGAATTATATCAAACAAGAGGGCCATGATGGCCCTGAGGTCGCTCACCTGTATATAGGCCCCCACCCCCGGGCCAATTTTTACCGAAGGGCTTTTATTTGTTTATTAGAACAGACTTGGTAGACACCCATAAGAAGATGTTTCATGCTAAACATCTAAGTTCTAGCTCATTGGCTTTTTTAAAAGAAGATTTTTAAAGTTTTTACTATACACAATGTCACCCCTGGGGCAGGGACAGTTTTGACCCCCAGACTTTTATTTTAACAAACTTTGTAGATATTTACTTAAAGATGTTTCATGCTTAATATCTAAACTCTAGCTATTTGGGTTTTTCCAAAGAAGATTTTTAAGTTTTTGCTATACACATATAAGGAAAATCAATGACACCCCCCCCCCGGGTGGGGCCAGTTTTGACCCCAGGGCTTTTATTTGAACATACTTGGTAGACACCCATTAGAACATGTTTCATGCTAAATATCTTAGCTCTAGCTCTTTGAGTTCTTTAAAAGACGATTTTTTAAGTTTTTTACTATATGCATATAGGGAAATCAATGACCCCCTGGGGCGGGGCCAATTTTTGACCCCAGAGCTTTTATTTGAACAAACTTGGTAGACACTCATTAGAAGATGTTTCATGCTAAATATCTTAGCTCTAGCTCTTTGGGTTCTTTAAAAGAAGATTTTTTTAAGTTTTTACTATATGCATATAGGGAAAATCTAATGACCCCCTGGGGCAGGGTCAATTTTTGACCCCAGGGCTTTTATTTGAACAAACTTGGTAGACATTCACTAGAAGATGTTTCATGCCAAATATCTAAGCTCTAGCTCTTATGGTTCTTTAAAAGAAGATTTTTTAAGTTTTTACCATATGCATATAGGGAAAATCAATGACCCCCTGGGGCGGGGCCAATTTTTACCCCAGGGCTTTTATTTGAACAAACTTGGTAGACATTCACTAGAAGATGTTTCATGCCAAATATCTAAGCTCTAGCTCTTATGGTTCTTTAAAAGAAGATTTTTTAAGTTTTTACTATATGCATATAGGGAAAATCAATGACCCCCGGGGCGGGGCCAATTTTGACCCCTGAGCTTTAATTTGAACAAACTTGGTAGACACTCACTAGAAGATGTTTCATGCTTAATATCTTAGCTCTAGCTCTTTGGGTTCTTTAAAAGAAGATTTTTTAAGTTTTTACTATATGCATATAGGGAAAATCAATGACCCCCTGGGTCGGGGCCAATTTTGACCCCAGGGCTTTTATTTGAACAAACTTGGTAGACATTCACAAGAAGATGTTTCATGCCAAATATCTAAGCTCTAGCTCTTATGGTTCTTTAAAAGAAGATTTTTTAAGTTTTTACTATATGCATATAGGGAAAATCAATGACCCCCAGGGGCGGGGCCAATTTTGACCCCAGGGCTTTTATTTGAACAAACTTGGTAGACACTCACTAGAAGATGTTTCATGCCAAATATCTAAGCTCTAGCTCTTATGGTTTTTTAAAAGAAGATATTTAAAGTTTTTTCTTTTGGTTGCCATGGCAACCAGAGTTCTGCATGGAATTAAATTCTTTGAACAATTTTTAAAGGTGACCACCAAAGGAACATTCCTGTGAAGTTTGGATGAAATTGGCTCAGTGGTTTATGAGGAGATGTCATTTAAAGCAAAAGTTTACGGACGGACGGACGATGGATGGACGGACGCCGGACGAAAAGCGATCACAAAAGCTCACCCTGTCACTTTGTGACAGGTGAGCTAAAAAGTTACTTAATTTACCATGTAAAAATGAATAACATTAAATAAGTTGCCTAACTTACCGTATAAATAAGAATAATATCATATAAGTTGCAAAGAAAAACATGAACTGTGCATGACTAGATGGCATTCCATATTCTGTGAACAGCACTGTTATTTCTGTAATTATATATTGTGAACAAGTATATATATGTAAAAAAATACTGTGAACAAGTCTATATCGGTAATAAAATACTGTGAACAAGTCTATATCTGTAATAAAGTACTGTGAACAAGTCTATATCTGTTATAAAATACTGTGAACAAATCTGTATCTGTAATAAAATACTGTGAACAAGTCTATATCTGTAATAAAATACTGTGAACAAGTCTGTCATGACATCTGTAATAAAATACTGTGAACAAGTCTGTCATGACATCTGTAATAAAATACAGTAAACATGTCTATTACAATATAATATAAAAGGGGCCAATTGGAATGACATGAGCAAATTCAAGTGTGACTGTCACAAGGATGCTACAGACCAAATTTGAAGTAAATCTGCTTAGTAGTTTCAGAGAAGAAGATGATTGTTGACGCATGACGACGGACGATGGACGCCGGAGCATCCCCCTTTGATACTAATAGCTCACCCTGAGCCTTCGGCGCTGGTGAGCTAATAAACAAGTTGATTACTGCTTCAATAATATAAAGTGAACAAGCCATAGTATATTGACACCTTAACAGAATTTCCAACATTAATTTATTGAAAACAAAAGTGTATTCCCTACACAAACATTTAAATTGTTTATGAGTTTAAGAATTCAATCGCTTTAACAACCCTTCTCCACTTATTGGGCAAGGCCAGTGGTATACTATAACCCTCTAAAATAAAGGAACAAATCCCATTTTTTATACCTGATTTATCATTCACTATATGAATGACATTCAAAATTTCACAGTACCCATCAAGTACTTTATCAAGAAATTTTGTTGCTAATCAATAAGACCACATTCCAAATCCAAAATTATCTCATCTTTTTCCCAATTTTAAAAACTGCATTCCTAACAGTTGCCAAAAAAAAAAACTGGACTGCCTCATATTCTAAGACAAATTTAAAAGTTTTGTCTTGACAGGTTATATTATCAATCACATGCTAAAATCTCAATAACCATGTGTAAAGGTAGTTTTTCAAGTTCTTGAAAATTATCAATTTCCCAAATAGCCTTATAGTTTTTCCCGATTAATGCCAAGAGTCTTTGCCCAAAAATAGCTGTATAAAGTCTTATTTTCACTAACCTCGGGTGTAACAAACTTAAAAGCAACACCAGGGGCACATGCTGGAGCTAAGAAATGCATAGACTTCAGTTAATTACACCTATTTAGTAGCATCTTACAAACTATGTGTGGATATAAGTTGGCTGTAATTCTTATGCCTCAAGCACTTGATGCAACTTTCAGTCAATAGGGCCAGACAGAATGATAAAAGCAAAGTAGTAAAAAGGGGCACAATTCTGCAGAACTGTTTTGCAGAATGACATGCCCTTGATATTTAACAAGTGTTTTAAATTTGAAGTGAGTACATGTTATTGGTCTTGAGAAAATGAGGAAAAATGATGAAGCAAGATTGATTTTCAGTTTATCTGCCCTTAATATATGCATTTGAGCCACGTCATGACAAAACCAACATAATGGGTTTGCGACCAGCATGGATCCAGACCAGTCTCGCATCCGCGCAGTCTGATCAGTATCCACGCTGTTCGCTCTCAGTTTCTCTACTTGTTATAGGGTTGGTAGGCGAACAGCATGGATCCTGATCAAACTGCGCGGATGCACAAGCTGGTCTGGATCCATTCTGGTCGCAAACCCATAATGTTGGTTTTGTCATGGCGTGGCTCATTTCAATTAGATAGTGAACAAGCATTCCAAGTTGAAAGGAGCTCCTCTGAAAATTAGAACTTCTTACATTAATCCAGTGAAGTGCTTAAAATCGAAAATTCTGCAATGGATAATTAAGAAATACGATCAGAATTTAATTTAGTACTGATTATTTGTGTAATACTTTACAATAGCCTGACTTGAGCATTACAATGATTTTCATTTTTTGTGAAAAAATATTTCCAACCCTGTTATGTAAAAAAAAAAAACTTAGTTGAGTCCCTTTAAAGACTTAGAGTATACATATCTTTGATATTTTTTCAGGAATTAACCTTAACAAAAAATATACCAGTTTGTCAAAAAGGCACATGTTTGTTTTGTTTGTTTCATTTTACGCCTTTTTCCAACAGTATTTTAGTCATATAGGCGGGTAGTTTCCTAACCATCGTTCCTGGAGAGTTACACCAGTACTAGACTACCTTCCTCCCCGCTAAACTATTAAAGCATCTCCCAGGGATCAAACCCACGCCAGAGGGGTAACTGGATTAGAAGTCATCGACTTTAACCCCTCGACCACGGAGGCATTAAAAAAAAAAAAATTCTGCATGTTTAATTTTAGGGTTATCTGCGCCTGTGATATGGTATCACATTTTGACAAATGTACAGGTACACCAAATTTGACATGAATAGCTTTGACAGTTTCTGAGAAAACGGATCTTTACCCATTACAGGTCCCAGTCAGTGACCTTAACCTTTGACTTTTTGATCTAAAAACACATTGTGTAAGGTAGAAATCATCAAGAAGAGGCATCCACAAATTGAGTTACAATATAATATCATTACAAGTATTATAGTTATTATTCATAAAAGAAATTTTTTTTTTAAGACCATCGATGAAAACTTAACCAGAGAGTTTAAGTAAATCAACACTGATGCCAATACCAAATGGTGAGTCATTGATGCATGTCAATGATATAATACCATGAAGCTAAAACTAAAGTAAGTTATTTCAATATTAGGGAAAAGTGGAAATATTTTGATCCAATCATAAAAGATCAGCTTACGATAATAATATAATGTCGCGGACAACAAAGAGATTAATTAATATTTTTTGTTTCATTATACTAATGGTCTAAGTAATGGATTAAAGACAAACCTCTGGGGGGCCTGTGTTCTCTAATTGTATGTTTCAGAATCCAGTTACAAGCTTCATTCAGCAGTATACCACAGAAATACGAGATCTGTAATAATAAAATTCAATAGTGTAAAGCTTAAAGCAACACGTCTCCAGATTTCATGAAAATTTTGAAAATGTATTTGAATGGGTAATATTGTGAAGCCATTCACACATTATCAAAGGCACTTACAAACCACGTAAATTACCAAAAAGTGATCAAAATATGCATTTATAACCTTTACTGCATTTAGTAACACAGTAGAAATATAGTTGTAAATACTGAAAAATCAGTCATTAATCGCACATAATACGTATAATATTACATGAATCTTGAAACATTTTCTATTCCTTACATCTTAGTTCATTTTTCTCAAGTTTGATTTTATTGAAATATTTTGACTCATCTGGAGGCATGTAGCTTTAATGCCTCAATGATACAAATACTTTGCAATTAGCATACAGTTAATACAGTATATCAGATATTTTACATTTTTAATTCATTATATACAATTATAATGTGTTTTATAATACAGTAAGTTTGAAAACGCCACTTTTCATTGAATAACCAGGATGTTTATATAAACTACCGGTACATACATGTACATGGCTGTTGTAAATTCATGTAGTAATTTTATTTTGTATAAATAATATAATATAATTATAAAGGAAGTTTGCTGTATGAAAAATTTCTTATAAAGATTGTTGGCAGTTTATATGGCCATGTAAATAGATATTTGCAAAATACATGTATATAGGGACAATTATAACCTGTCAAAAATCATTACAGTCTATACTTTTCAAATATCATTTTTGAATAATAAATACACTGTATATATAATATATATATATGTATCCTACAGTTAAAACCAAGGCATTGTTAATACAAATTCAATTAAGAATTGGTATTGGTCTCATCAATTAAATTTTAAACAATGAAGTTTATTTTACAAAGCTAAATATCATAATGATGTTAAACTTCAAAATGCACTGTAACAAGTCTACTCCAAAATTTGGAACAGAGCATCATACTACAGCGTTTTTTTCTCTCTACTTTTGGATTGGTGCCAGAACCAGATTGATTGGGAAAATACATTATTTTGACTCAAATTGGGAATTTTTATTAACCCTTTACCTCATATATACGCGAAACAACGCACTTTCGACCCCCCCCTTTTTTTAGGCCTCAAATAGTGAAAAAATGTCCTATTTGGGCCCCAAACACATGTTTTCGTTTGAGAAATGTTGCTAAAAAAATGGAGCACTTTTTCGGCGTCGCCCCCATCCAAAAGATACACAAGGGGGTTGGCAGAAGGGGGATGTGTCCCCTTCTGTTAGGGGGGGGTTTGAAGGGGGGCGGAGTCCCCCTCATCGCCAAGAAAATTTTGGACTTGTGAGAGGCTAGTAATGACCCCAGGTCGATCATAATGTAACGTGTAACCAACGCTGAAAAGCCTTTGACTCTATCTCAATCCCTTGAGAAGTTGCAGCACTTTAAAAAAAAAATGATGGAAAAAATCGAGGCAAAATAGTGATTTTTGGCAATTTTGAGATGTCCCCTTGTTGCCATGGTAACAGGAAATTTAAGACTGAGCATATCGTTACAAAGGCAATGGTCAAGTCAACATTTGTGCCAAGTTTGATTAGTATTGAAGCATTTTTCACAGTTTCATAGCAGTTTGAACTTGTAACAGGAGGCTTTTCAGAGAAAACGGCCATTTTTCACAATATGCTCATGGGGGAAAGGGTTAAGCATCTTTTCAGCTACAGATAAGATTAGTCATAATGAATAAAGACGGCTAACAGCTTCCACTATCTAGGTAGAACTATTGAGTGGTGATTTATATAAACATGTTTGATTTTAAAGTGACATTATGCCCATTCAAGGATATACAGTAAATGAACAGGTGAAAGTCAAAATAAGTTTTTATATTGCCATAATTTCTTTTAATTTTATAATTTACTTCATATAAACAATAAAAAAAACCCGGATCGAAACGGAATTTCTGTAAATATCAATTAGAACTTACCTAGAACGTTTAATTTATAAAGAGTGGGGCAGTCTTGTTTTGTTTCAGGCATATTTGAAATTTTATCCTAAATATTTTCCAAAATAAACTGTTGGTCAAACACCATTTTAACAGTCAATCTTTTGAATTGAAAAGTCAATTCAGCTCAACTTGACTATGAAAATATGAGCATATTGTCACTTTAATTGATTTAAGAGAAACCTCATGGCCTTGAAAAGTCATTTTGGGAATTTTCACATTAAAATTTGGGAATTGGGAATTTTAATGTCTTTTTTCCATTGGGAACAGTACCTTTTTTAGGTAGTAGTTATATACAGAAAAAAAATCACTGAACTAGCATTATAAATTATTACACAACAGGATTTGGTTGGGTTTTAGGTCACACAAGCACAGTATAGGTCATATAGCATTATATCAGGCACAAACAGGCACCTGGAAAGACCCACCAACATTCTGTGAGCTAGCTGGATAGCTTTCTCACATTAAGAATCCAACAATGCTTGCCCGGCAGTAGAATTTCAGAAAAAACAGTCATTACATGTAATTGCAAAAAAACATCATTCAATAGATGTGTATTATTTCTTAATTTGTAAATATAAAATTTTTACTCTTTTTTTTTTAACATAGTACATTTTTCTTAAGGTTAATTTTGTTGACATATTCTAGCTAATCATCTGGAGGCATGCACATTTAAGGCATTCTACAGTACATTACTATTAATAAAATTCATTAGGTTAAAAGCTAACAGAGTAAATAAACTACTAACTGTGTGAAGATCTCTCCTAAACACTATCAAGGTAAGGAATGACACAATCAGAGCGATAGGTACTAAGCTGAACCAAGCGAACACATATCCAACAAAATCACCTGAAAACATAAAGAAAATATATTTTAAGAATTAATACAAGAGCCATGATAACATGGCCATCCCTTGCTGCATGTGTTTGCTCATTGGAAGAATGTATATGTAGTAGAGCGGAATAGTTCAATTTTAAGAGGTCTTTTGGTTAGGGCTGTCATTGATGGACAATTTTGTTTCGATGTATCGAGAGACAAATATCGACGATACATCGACATATCGACTTTAACAGTAGATACAATGAAAAACATTTAAAAGTGTGTCATAAATTTGGATCATGGTGTTATGCATGCTTGTATTAGACTACAAATACTACAAACTAACAGAAAGTTTCTTTTTTCTGTTATTTTTGTCACTGACATTTGAAAACAGAGTTTAAAGTTCAAGTTACATGTAGCCTAGAAAACTGGAAAAAAGTGACTTCTCTTACTAAGCAAATTTGAGAGGTATATATTCACTAACAGTAATAAATAAATTTTAGCTTTTATCGATATTTGAAAATGTGTATCGATATTGTATCGAATGATGAATATTGATGACAATTCAATATCGCGATATTCAATGACAGCCCTACTTTTGGCTGATGGCTGTTCAAAGTGATTACAGATTTGAAACCTATGTGAACACTGATGGCTGAAAATAACAAAGGGCAATAACTGAAATTTAAATTATAATGCAGGACAGGTTATCATTCTTTTGTGCTTCACTCCTCCTCAATGAGATCTATCCACCTATGAAGTTTCAAGTTGATATCCCTAACACTTTTTGATATAAGCTCCAGACAAAAAGTATGAAAAATAACAACTTTTTAGGACAATAAATCAAAAATTATAAAGGGTAGAGTTATCATTCTTGCACAGAGCATTCCTCCTCAAAAGATCTATCCACCTATGAAGTTTCATGTTGACATTATGAGTTATGCTCCACTCAGGTGAAAAATTAAGTATGAAAAATAACAGAAGGCAATAACTCAAAAATTATGAAGGATAGAGTTATCATTCTTGTGCACTGCACATCTCCTGAGTGAGATCTATCCACCAATGAAGTTTCATGTTGTCTTAACGGTAAGGGGTATGAGGGTAAGGATTATTAACAGGTCTAGGATTTCATGATATTTACGGACAATCTGTAAATTTATGGACAATCCATATAATTTTACAGATTCTTAATCTGTAAATTTACAGACATTAAGTAAGAAAATAGAAATAGTTGCATTAAAATTCAAAATGGCAGGTTAAAATGAATAAGGTTACATATTATATGATTAAAAACAGTATGGTAAGATTCAGAACAATTTGATGACTTTCAGTTTTCACTTTTAACAAAAATTTCAAAATCATCATACAAAGATGAAACTCACCTAATTACCTTTGTAAATTTATATAAATAATCAATAAAACAACTTGTCTTAAGCTGCAGATTTAAAACCAAAACAGCAAATTTCACACCGAACATCTATAAATTTATGAATTGAAAAATCTTTAAATCTCTAGACTATCTACAAATTTATGGACAGTCCATAAATATCATGAAATGCTAGACCTGATAAAGCACTTATTTAACTGTGGGCATATTGTAAGTGCTCCTACGTCATTTAATATGTCCCCATCAAGCAAATTAATTTAATTGTTGTACTTTACTACATGCTTTATTTATCAATCACAACATTTTTGGCAGAAAGGAAAAGTGGAATTTGACATTAAAGGGAAAACTGGAACAAAATATATACTACTGGTTGGGGACCACCAAAACCGGACAACCACCAAACCCGGACGGCACCAAAAATGCTCTAATTTAGAATTTTCTTTGTTCAGTGGTGGTCAGTCATTTTTAATAAATTATCAACAATAAATGCATGTTTCTTCTAAAATTAAGGAAATAAATTTATTTCAACCTCCGTAAATGGTAATATTTTAATGTCTTTTTCAAGAATGTTGACGTTGAAATTTAGGGGCCAAGAAAGCAATGCCTGACCTCATATACCAGATATAATTATTTACAGAGTAAACAATAGAATATCCAAAACCTCAGCATTTGTTGCTGAAATATTGTATATCATCACAGGAACTTGAAATTCTATCAAATAATCAATATTAATGATAATATCCAAATATACCCCCTATATACTATAAACAAGAGCTGTCTGTAGGACAGCATGCTCGACTATTCTAAGTGCTTGATAGTAAAAGAGACTTGATATTGTTAAATTTTTTAAGTTCACAAAAGGGCTAATTTTTTTTTATAAATTCATGTTATAGGCCTTAGAGAGAGTCTAATTATACAGAATTGGCTTGACTATTCGGAAGGTAATGTCACAAGGGTTTTTTATTGAGTATAATAATACTAATTACCTATGAATACATAAATTTGACAGAAAAGGTACAAAGGCTTGTTATTAAGATGTTTTATCAAGTAAATCACTACTTTATTATTATGAATGCATAAAATTGTCCAAAAAAAGGCACAAACCCTTCAGTAGTTATTGAGATAACAGCTTACAAGCAAAACTTTACCATGAATTTCTAAGTTGAAAAAGGGGAGAAAAATCAGCCTAAATGCAAGATAGAATTATGGATCTTTGTCAGTGACCTACAATTATGACCCTAAATGCATATGTGAAGTTTTAAATAAATATCTTTAATAGTTATTGAGATATGTAAAACTTGCATGTAAAAATTAACCAAGAGACTAAGTAGAAAAGGGGATATAAATCAGCCTTAATGCAAGATAGAGTTATGGAACTTGGTCAGTGACATACAATTATGACCCTCCAATTATGACCCTAAGTGCATGTGTAAAGTTTCAAGTAAATATCTTTGAAGACCGTTAACCTTTAACCAAAATTTCTAAGTTTCAAAGGGGTAAATAATTCTGCAAATATTGCAGACAGAGTTATGCAATTTTGCAAACTGATGTACATTGTTACTATAAATAAGTATTTTAAATTTCAATTGATTATCTCAAGCAATAATTGAGATATTTGACTTTACAAAAAACTTTAACCAAAATTTCTAAGTTCCAAAGGGGCATAATTCTGTCAATATGGTAGGCAGAGTTATCCAACTTGTCAATCTGATGCACATTGTTACTATAAATAAGTATTGTAAGTTTCAATTGAATATCTCAAGCAATAATTGAGATATTTGACTTTACAAAAAAACTTTAACCAAAATTTCTAAGTTAAAAAGGGGCATTATTCTGTCAATATTGTAGGCAGAGTTATCCAACTTGTCAATCTGATGTACCTTGTTACTATAAATAAGTATTGTAAGTTTCAATTGAATATCTCAAGTAATAATTGAGATATTTGACTTTACAAAAAACTTTAACCAACGCAGACGCCGACGCGGACGCTGACGCCGACGCCGACGCGACTACAATAGCTCTCATATTCTTCGAATAGTCGAGCTAATAAACACAAGGAATGAAATGCCTTTTCCCCACCCCAACATAATTTACGCCGAACAAATCAACAAAACAACGGATCAAAATATTCTATCTGGCCATTTCGATAAACAATACATAAATGCATCAAATACCACCGATAACTTTTTTTAATTGCGTAGCTATGTAGGAATAATTCAACATTTTCTGATTATTTCCCACGATCTGAGTTTGTCGCCGACTCCATTCGTGACGTCACTGGATGTTGATTCGAGGAGAATACTATTTAGTAAAATTATTTTCAACAAGTTCCAAAAATAACAAGTTTGCAAGTAAAATACTGTCAAACTAGAACAAATGAATAATTTCTCTCTTACGACATGGCTGAATTTATTTGCTGGGCCATATCAATTAGAGTACTCAATTTTTTTTTTAAAACGAAAGTACTATGTCAAAGATTTACCGTTCTTGTTTGGGGTTTCCCTTTCAAGTGTATTTATAAAAGTTATTTGTTAAAAAGGTTTTACATGAAGATGTTTAAATCTATTTACATAGAATAATTTGTATAAAAGTTTTATACATACCTGTTATTTTTTGGAACTTATTAAAAATAATTTTAATAAATATTATTCTCCTTGAATCAAAATCCAGTGACGTCAAGGAATGGAGTTGGCGACAAACTCAGATCGCGGGAAATAATCAGAAAATGTTGAATTATTCCTACACAGCTACGCGATTTTAAAAAGTTATCGGTGGTATTTGATGCATTTATGTATTGTTTATCGAAATGGCCAGATAGAATATTTTGATCCGTTGTTTTGTTGATTTGTTCGGCGTAAATTATGTTGGGGTGGGGAAAAGGCGTTTCATTCCTTGTGTTTATTTATAGTATAAAGGGGTATATTTGGATATTATCATTAATATTGGTTATTTGTTAGAATTTCAAGTTTCTGTGATATCTAGTCCAATAGATTAGACGTTACAGGCTTGTTATAGTTTTATGTTGGTCAAGCCTGACGTCTAATAGTTATTGCTCAAAAACGCGTAGCATTTTGAAAATTTAAAAAAATGTCTGTTGACTTGCCTTTCAAGCTTTATTCAAAAGCTTATCTTCTGTTTTTTCAAATGCATGGTCTATCATTTACAAAAACTTTCAAACAATGTACTTATCAATTAAAAATAAAATATACATATCAGTCTATTTCGCTCATCGGCCATACTGGTTAAGTAAAGCGTTTTACAGATTGATTCCAATTTTTTGAACGGAAAAATATATTCGAACACACTGACGGTGCATGGGCAATTATTTCGTTGAAAAAATATTCCGTTAGAAACTTCTGGACTCATTTAAACGCTTGCATTTGAATTAGCCAATCAGATTTCGCGCACTGTATGGCGGCCATTTGTATATTGGCTGTACAAGGAATTTAATTAAATGAGAGGATTTAATCATGACTTTTCGGATGTGACAGTTCAATTATTTTGTTAAAAGGTATTTATTTTTTAGTTTTGTTCATAAATAGGTCAAAATTTATGTGAATACACGCTGTTTTAATTGTTTAAATTCATTAGATCTAAATCTAACGTCAATTTTTAAATTCATTAGATCTAAATCTAATGTCAATTTTTTTGCTACACGATTTTGCAAAGATCTGTTAAGACCTAACGTAACATGGAAAATGAAAAATGTAAAATATCAGATTAATGAATGATAAATATGAAATAGGTTACGTATAGGTCTTATAATTAGGACTATGTGATATCATGTTAAAAGTCAAAAATCAAAGCACCCAAGCTTTTATCTGAATTAAATCACATCATGTACATATCTGTCCGGACACATGGTACTGTAGTGTTGACAATTTAGGTAATTTTGATACCCTCCTTGTCGAGCCTCAGATATAAGAGTCAATACATTCAGAAATAAACAAACTAGTTTTTTAGTTAGGAGAAGAACCTAGCTGAACTGTGTCAATTTTTTTGGTCTCTAGATTAAAAATTATGAAATCTGTATCGAAAAATGTTCAAAAAGTGTCCGGTTGATGGTCCCCGACCAGTACAGTACGAAAAGTTTAGGTACGAATGCAATTTATCAGAAGTATTTGTGAGAATTTGCACATTTGGTAATTGCAAAAGTGGATATTTAAATATCTTGTTATAATACAAAAGAACTTACCTTTAGTATATTGTGCGTTTGTAAGAGATATTGACGTGTATTTCGACTCAATACATGGTGAATTTGTTTGGGCATATGTGGACTTCCCGTCTATGTCCTCCATCTTGGAAATGATATACACGCATGCGCACAGAATTATTTGAAACAGAAGTCTTCATTGGTAATTTCTTAAGTAAGAAGGTGTTTGATTGGTTAAAAATAAGGGAATTCCCAATTAATCGGGGATACCAAAGATGGCGACGAAGAGAGCTCATGCTTTGACATTTAAAATAATTGCAGAATGTTCTACTACAAAAGCTCGTGTTGCAGAGATGACATTGCCTCACAGTGTCGTAGATACACCAGTTTTCATGCCTGTTGGGACACAGGGTACGCTCAAAGGCATTCTGCCTGACCAATTGAAAGAATTGGATTGCAAAATTATGCTAGGAAATACATACCATTTGGGAAACAGGCCGGTAAGAGCTTAATTAATGTAAGACATTTACATTTTTTTGCTATGAATTTTATGAATGCTAAATAACAAGATGGGGATATTTTAATCTTTAGGCTGAAAACACAGCCAATTTCAACTGATGACATGGCCGATCACCAATCTGTTAAAAAGCACAATATCACAATCACATAAAATTATAATATGAAGATTAGGCAAAGTCTATGAATGGGGAAGTTGGTAAAAAATCCTTTCATTTTTCCGTTTTAAAGGTGTCATTCGGTATTATATTTCCGTTATCGGAATACATTGCCTTTTATCATTGACTTACATTGTAAATGGCGGCGCCTAAATAGAACTGACACTGAAAATTTCATTGATAGTTATAGAATTCTATATATTTTTTAATTGTTTTTTTATTTGATTTTCTTTTAAATATACATGTGTAGTCTATAGCCGGGCAAGCCAAAGTCCGGGCCCGCTTTGCGGGCTCGGACTTTGACTTCCCCGTTTAATAAATCCAATCCAATGTTTCATACACTCACAATTGATATATATATATGGTATCCTGTGATGATGAATGTTACTATCCTCCTTTGATGAATGTCACTATCCTCTGTTGATCAACGAATGTTCCTATGTTGTTGCTAAAATAAAATAAATAAAATAAATAAATAAATATCCTCCGTTGATGATTGTTCCTATCCTCCATTGATGAATGTCCCTATCCTCCGTTGGTGAATGTTCCTATCCTCCATTGATGAATGTCCCTATTCTCCGTTGATGAATGTCACTATCCTCTGTTGAAGGTCAAAGTCACAGCATGACCTTGCAGCAAAATCGTGTCCGGCTTATAACTTCGTTATTTGAAGTTGGATTTTACAACTATTTCACAGAAATGATCACCATATTGAGACGACATGTCGTGCGCAGCATTTGGATGGCTACCTTGAAGGTCAAGGTCACAGCATGACCTTGCAGCAGAATCGTTTCCAGCCCATAACTTGGTTATTTGAATTAGTTTGATTTTACAACTATTTCACAGAAATGATCACCATATTGAGACGATGTGTCGTTGTTTTTTCACTTTAACTTTGTCTATGACATAACTCTGACACTACAAGAGGTATTTTAACCTTCCTGTGTCCAAAACCTATTCGGGGAACATCACTAGGTTCAACCGGCTCTTGTTTAGAAAGTCTCAACAAATGTTGAACAGTTTCAAACTAGCATTTTAATAAAATACTTTACATGGAATCATGGCCACCCTTGAATATATATAAATATATATATGCTAGATCAAAGTCTAGTTACCATCACTTAGTACATATTACTATTAGACCTGTCAAAGATAAACAAGATAATTTTGGATGGGCAATGTCTTTTTTCAACTGTTTGATAGTAGAAAATAACATTTCTGTAGTGTGTCGAACTGTTCACACCAAGTTAATTAAGCAGCACTCGGTAGAACTAAGAATATTATAATTTATAAGATTGATGGATCTGCAGAATAAAGAAGTAAAAACCACTACACATCATATCCATGCACTTAAAAACCAGTTAATAGTAACCCTAAACTTCACCTGTACCTAACTGGTAATTGGGGACAGTCACGTGGTAAAATCCATGCAAAATGCCCCAATACATTTATTATTTAATTTATTAATAGTATTAATTAAAGCTTAACTGGATTGACCAAGCCATGTAAGACTTAGCTCATTTACCCTACTGTTTTAAATACTTTACCAGAACTGCCCAGGATTTGGTTGGGGTTAAAATTTGCTGGTTCATTATTGTAAAGATACTTAGATACTAATGAATCGCAAGTTCATGGTTAATAACTCAAGTCTTAAATAAGCACTTACTTATATTCACTTTCAAAAAAAAAAAAAAATACAACATGCATACATATGATTAATGTGTTATGTTTGGATTTCTTTGAAGGGA